ACGTTTATCCCAAACATTTGGGCGATGAAAAAACCTGTAATGACCATTAAGATGAAGGGTAAATGTTCAAGATTGACTTGATTCTAATAAAAATTTGATTCCTCTTTCAACTTGTCTTTTAGGCTTCACAATTAGATGCAAAAATATTAATCGCTCATCAACTTATCCATAACATTGAAGTTCAAGTGAAAGTTTTCCGAACTGCTCAACGAAGTAATTGACAAATACTGTTCAACTTAACCATTAAAAACTCATTGAAACCTAAAGACAAATTGATTTCTCATAACGTCTTAAACCTTAATAGTTGATTTGAATCTAATAATTTCAATTTGAGCATTTAAAACGGACGCAAAGTAAAGGTTAACCAAACTGAATCCATGAAATTTTATGCTCAAAAGGTTGTGACAACAAGTTGAAGAAGAAGAGAAACGGTGGAAGAAAAAAAAGAGGGTGAAAAGGAAAAGAAAAGAATGGCTGAAACAAGTTCAGATGATGATGGATATTTTATCTTACCTTTGAATCTTTGGGCCGTGAAAAAAGCTATTAGATGCTCGGGTTTGCATTTTTCAACTTTACATGTGATTGAAGTGAAGAGCAAAAGAAAAGCTGAAACGTATGATGATGAAGATGATACGATGAAGGAATACGTGGATCATGCATCATTTGTCTGTATGAAAAGGAGCCAAATAAAGGGGCCAACGTGCACCCATCTTCACGTTTATTCCCAGTAACTATTCACTTCTAAACCTTCATGGTCATGTTCATATTTTATCATAATAATAATAATAATAATGATAACATTGAAAAGGTAAGCTTAAACAAATATGATAATAGAAGAGTAAAAATAACAAAAAGCTAAAGAAAGTATAAGAAAAGTATAAGAAAAACAAAACTTTATACTGTTTGATAAGGTAAATAATAATGATAATAAAATGAAATAAAATAACTTCTAGACACCAAAATTACTCCATGATAGCCTCAAGGATTTATTTGTCTATAATGATTATGATGAAGAATGAGAATGATGATAATGTTTGTGTAATTAGAGATGAAAATGAATTTTCTTGTTAAACGAAACTTTTTCGCCGTTTTTTTTCTCTTCTCCAAACATTTTTCTTTTCATCTTTTCCAGATTAATAGACTCTTGATTATCAATGAATTCAGTCTAATTAGAGTTACTATTTGTCTTTCGCTGTCATTCATTAACTTCATGTGGGCTTCATCCATTTTCAGATTAATGTGCGTCTTGATGAATCAATTTCATGTCGATAATTACAGATTTTATTCACTCGAACAGTCTATTTTTTGTCTGGAAAATTTCAACTTTTCATTTCAATTTTTCTTTTCATTTTGGTTCTAAAGGGTTTTCATTTCAATTTTTCTTTTCATTTTGGTTCTAAAGGGTTCTCTTGGTTATCAATTGTAAAGATTGAGGGATAAAAGAATGAGAGACATGATGGTGTGAACCTCTTTTTTATTTTCGAAGTCGTTTTCGTGGAAATGGCTTAAAGAATTTTAACCTTATTTTATCAATGGACAATTGTATCTATCACTTTGTCTCTTATACTTTAGATCTTTGTATCTGCCGTTCAGCAGTAAATCGATAAGAGCCTCATGATATTGTTCAATTCTCTGATTTCACCATTGAACAAAAATATTTTTAAGAATTTTCTGATGTTTAGTTAGTTGATTCGTGAAATACACCTAATTGAAAACATAATTATAGCCAACTCAAAGTTAATTTTATAAAAAAAATTGAATTGTTTATTTCGTTAACATGACTAGGTTACAATTTGAGAGGTGACATTATTAGAGGGTCGACAGTATTGACAACTTGACTTAGTGAGACTCAAACTAAAGCATAAATATTTAAGTTACATGTGATAACATGGATTAAATGGATTGTTACATGGATAAAGGTTTCATTGTATCATTGTGGCATATGGAACACTCGCCAATTCATCTGTATATTTTCCAAGAAGCTTGAATAAAATTACATTGAATAGTAACCCAATACTGATGCCAACTTCGCAAAAAATCAAAAAGTTTCTTTGTGATTTAATAAACTCATCGTCCACACCAAGTAAGATGCCTCCAGCCACAATTCCGATTACCCCGGCCACCATCGAAAACATGAGAACAATCCGACCGATGATAAGAACAATTCGCCACTGTTTGATGATTGCTGTTAACATGATTCCCTCCATGACAAGACAGATAAGAGCAAGACCGAATCCGGATCCAATGGATGCTGCACCGAACAATCTGATGACACACAATGCAACGCTAACACTGAATATTCTTATCAACCAGTTTTTTGCAGAACTTCTACCTTTGTTCGCCATGTTGTTCGCCATGTTGTTCTCTGTATCATTCATGGTTAGTTGGTAGATTTAACTTGATGTTCAATTCGCAATAAAAGGTAAATTAGCAAAGAAATTTGAAAATAACTTCTTCACTCGAAGTAATCACTTGAGAAGCAAAATCCTAAATGAACCATTTTTTACAGCATCTAATGACCATGGCAGCAATGGAGTTTAGACTTCGATTAAGACGCAATTAAGGAAGAGGACGTAATTAGCCTAAGAAATAGATTTTTTCAAACCAATTTCTTGTCTAACGAAACTTTTTTCTTCTTTGACATTTTCTTTTCATCTTTGTCCCCCAGATTAATAGACTCTTGATTATCAATGAATTCAGTCTAATTAGAGTTACTATTTGTCTTTACTTGTCGTTGATATTGACTTCATGTGGGCTTCATCAATGGACTCGCACTGAGTCCCTTTCATTGAAGATCAAAATTGGTTTCCATTTTTGTTCAGATTAATGTGCTTCTTGATGAATCAATTTGAAGTCGATTGAAAATGAATGGCTAATTACACATTTTTATTCAATTGAAAAGTCTATTTTTTACCTGCAAAATATCGACTTGTGAGAGCAATTTTCATTTCAATTTTTCCTTTTAATTTCATTTCTCATTTTCATGAGGAAATAATTTTGTTTATCAATTTTGCACCGAAATTTTATTCTTCAACAACTTTATCAACTTCTTTTTACAGAAACTTTTCATTGAGAGAGAAAATTTTTTTTTGTTCAACTTAATTTGCTTTTACATTTCAATTTTTTGTGGCTAATTTGTTTTTCAGAATTTCTCTTTCAGAACTTTTCCATTGTAAAAATTGCAACAATTCATGTTCAAACCTTTTACCCAATGAAAAACTTTTCCAATCACAAAATGAATTTCACCAAATTTTCCTTCAGAACTTTTTCAAAAAACTTGAGTTCGACTTTACTTGATTTATTGACTTTTTCCCATTTTTGATGAAAACATGAGTTGAATCTTGAAAATGAAAAGTGAAAAGTTTCTCATAATAGATTCTCAAATTATCATTTCATCGAAATGATAAAAAATGAAGGATCCAAAATGCGTGTAAATAATGTGAGAAGAATAAGTAAAAAGATAAAAGCTGTAACCGGAACAAGAAAAGGATGATAATTATCAATTTTTGATATTTACATCCGGTCATCAAGAATCGCCAAACTTTTTCTTTCAAAAAAGAAGAGGAAAAAAGGACGATAAAAGGATGAAGAAGAAGGTAGAAAAAGAAGAAAATGAAAAATGTTTCAAGAATGGAAGAAAAAGGTAAACAAAATGTTGATCCTCTGTTACCTTTATCTTTACTTTTACTGGCTTCATAACTCCCTTTATCATCATCATCATTTCATTCTTGTATTGTAAGAAGGGAAAGAGTGAGAAACTACATAATAATGAATGGCGATGAAGACGGCAAAAGAAGAAGAAAGAAGAAGAAGAAGAAGAAGAAAAGATAAGTTGACTTTATAAGCACGACTAGATGGATGAACATTCTGGATGAGCAATTATTGGCAGAAGTATTTTTCACCATCATTTCTCATCATCATCTTTTTCCTACGATTATCTTTATGACCTAGAGGGATTGTTGAAGAGCAAAGGATGATGAGCGAGTGAGAACTTATTGTGAACCTTAATTTCATAAAAGATATCATCAATTTTGTGCAACTTTAAAATTAAAGGGAGTGTAACCATTTTCATAGGCATTTGCAAACCCAACAAATATGATAACTATTTCTTGTTCCTGTTTCTGAGGCTCCTTTCAATGATCCTTTTCGCAATCAGACTTTTCAAGTTTCCAAAAATTCGAGAAAATTTTTTCTTCATTTTTTCTGATCAAATTAAGGCAAATCATGAGCTTTATGTAGTTTTGGCCCGTTTTTTGTGTTATGCTCAACTATTAATATGAAATATTATCATCATTATTAGTATCAACTTGTTATTAGCAGCCTTACCTTGCCCATTGTGTTATTAGTTTGTAATATTGTTTTACTTTTAATGATATAAGTAGCATTTATCTGTGTATAGATTCATTTATTTTGGTGTCTTTTGCTCTGCACTTTGCTCCAATCATCGTTATTGATGATATTTAAATGTTCATATTGTTCATCATCATTATGTTTGCGATCAAGCTTTTTTTTGTTCAAAACCCAGCCTTGATTTTGAAAGTCGCTTTTTGAAGTCTTTGACAAACTATCTTCAATAACTTTTTAAAATAGATTCAAGTTTAATCAAAACTTTGGGTTACATCAAGTCTATGAATAAATTATGCTAATTTGTTTTGTTTCACTCAACCTTTCAACATTTACTTTCTAAATAGACTTTGAATAATTAATTTACTAACAACTTAATTAACATTGTTGCCGAGTTTGAATCAGTTGAAACTAAGTTGACTAAATAGATACAGTTTATTCAATTTGCGCGATTTTGCATTTCAAATTTTTCACTTGAAAAGTAATTTGATAAGAAATTTTCCAGTTTTTTGAGTTTTTGAATTTTCGCTTTTTGTAAACTTTTCGTTGCGTTTCGTTAGAGTTTTCAGTTTGTTGTGTGCTGTTTGAGTGATGATTGAAAGTACGAGTAAATTGATTTGAAATGAACATTTATTTTGAACAGACATGATGATTGGTTTATCATTTAATGATTAATTAAACTTTAATGCATTTAACTTGACAACATTAAAACCTACAATTATTTAATTTTTTGTGTTTTTTTTGTATCGTCTTTTTTTGTATAATAAAGTTATGCTGTTGATTGATCAGTTAAATGAAAGATGATTTTTGTGTTAATTGAATTTGTGGAAATGAATGAATCGTTTTTTTTGTCTTGCGTTTGTTGCGCTTTTCTTTTTTATCGGCGATTTATGTTGGTGAAGTTAATAAAGTTGAGGGTTGATGGATTGAGGGTCATGATGGTACCAACTGTAAGGGCTGACGTAACTATTGCTGTACATTGATGGATGTGGAGGTGGATAAGGAGGATGTCCAGTGTTACCTAGTGCACTGCCTCCACCCACAGAAGAGGAAGAGGTTGACGATGAGGAGGACGATGAGGAACCCAGGCCAAGACCGATCTCTTGTTTTGGTGTTATCTGACCCATTGAGGACCATTGGTTGGGAGTGTGGGAAGGTGAATGAATGGTTCCAGGTGAACTTCGAGCAATCGTTTGTGATGAGTTAAGTGGTGATTCAGAGTAAACCGGAAGAACCGGGGAACGAGTAAGAACAGGACCAGAGGCTGTTGAGGAAGAGGAAGAAGAAGATGAAGAGGAGACTATCGAGGATACAAGGGAGTTTCCTAGGTTTGCATTACCGATACTATTAACAGGTGCACCAGGGCCATTTGAGTTGACACCATTGGAACCCGGATTTGGACCAAGTGATGAATGTAATGGTGTATGGCTTTCACTTGGTACCTCAGGGGAATGTTGAGGAATGTAACCTTCACCTTTGATGAAAGGTGAACCCGAGGATAGACCAACTCCTGGTTGAGTATCAAGTGATTGCTGTTGATTTGAAAGAGTTTGTTGGACTTGAGCTTGTTGCTGTTGTTGTTGGTGCTGTTGGTGTTGTTGTTGTTGGTGTTGTTGCTGCTGCTGTTGCTGCTGCTGATGTTGGGCCTGTTGTTGTGCTTGTTGCTGTTGCTGCGATTGATTCTGCCCTTGACCTTGATTACCTCCTCGACCTCGTCGACCACCACCAGTACCACAGGCAACACCTTGTGAACCATTCACTTGTCCACCTCCATTCACAGCTTCCTGAGCTTTTTGCATTTTCTTGTTTTTTGAACGTTTATTTTGTAGCCATATTTTAACCTACAATCATGAAAGAAAATCAGAAAATAATGAAATTTTGATTAGAAAACGTTTCAAAGTGCTAAAGTACTGAAAATGAAACTTTGCCCATTTTTCAACTCATTTTTTCATGACTCTTTTGATCGAAAAACATTGTTTTTTAAAATCTTGAAACTTTTCACTTTCTTAATACTTCAACTACTTTAATGCTTTCATACTTTAACACAATTGCGATAAAAATTTAATCTTTTTTTTTGGTAAAAAATTCGACTTTTCAGGCTTCAATTTTTTAAATTTTTTCACCATTCAACTTTAACCAATATTTGCAGGTCAAAAGGGTAAAGTGAAAGGTAAATTAAGCGATTGAAAAGTGACATTAATTGTGCAAAATGGAACTCAATTTCATAGCAAAAAATGGATTAAAATTTTGCATCTTATAACAAGTTTTGGTGGAAAAAAAGTTTGCAAAAAATGTAAAAATCTATTGAAAATGAATTGCAGAATAAGGAAAAAAGTTTACAAAAAATGGTCAGAATTATCTATAAAAAAGAAGTCATGAAATGAACTAAAGATTCTCAGATCTATACTCTGAAGGTTACTTCTGGTCATCATAATTCTTTTGAATCTCACTTTTCCAGCCTTTTTTTCTTCTCCTTTTCTTCATCTGCAGTTCTGACCATGGTCAGTGTTGCTCATGATAAAGAACAGAAAGCAAGGAAAAAGTGCATTGTTTTTTATTCTCACTTCAAGGTTATGAACTGATCAAAATCCGATCAACTCTCAACTCATGATTTGACATTTTATTTTCAGAAAAAATGCAAACTTTACAATTCGATAAACTTTGTCAAAATTTTTGGGATTTTTCTCGTCATTTTCACATATTGTCGATAACCAATTGAAATGAAACAGAACTTCAGATTTGAACCTTTTTTGTATCATAAACATTTTATTGATTCGTTTTGAATTTTTGAATATGAAACTGTGAAACTTGAACACTTTTCAATGTTTTTTAGATGAAGACAAATGTAGACAAAAAAAGTTACAGATTGAGACAGCATTTTCATGATGAAAGGGGAGAGAATATTTTCCAATGGAAAATCAGAAGAGAAAAAAAAACTTTTTTTCCTCAAAACTTTTTCTCATTCGTAATGTGGATGGAAATATTGCTAAAGATGAATGAATGACAAGGTGTTGATGATGAGTTTACATTTCATGTATGATAATTTGATAATAATAATTATAATAATGATAATAATGTTAATATTGTGATGGAATAGAAAAGAAAAGAACAAAATTATAAGTTTGTTCAAATAAACACAAAAAAAAAGGATTGATGAAGATGAGGTTGAAGTTCTTTTCAATTGTCATGTTATGTTAAAAGTTGAGAGTTTATGGATTGATCATGGCTAGGATACCAGGCATATTGGGACATGTAATTGTTGTGGGTAAGCGGTGTGAGTGGCTCTTGCTTGGGAATCACATGTTGACCCATGTTCCAGTTGGACAGAGGTGGACTGGTTGATTGTGAGGGTGAAGGGTGAGTGTTGCTGTTGCTGTTAAAGTTAAGGTTTGCCTTTGGCTCGGTGTGAGTTAGAGGCAACATGTTTATATTTGGTTTATTGGTTGAAGGTGTTGCACAGTGTTTATACTCTGAATGATCACCAGTCGAGTGTCCCATCAAAGGCGATGCATGCCCCATGTTGGGTGGTGTATGACCCGAGTCTTGCATCTCACAGGGTGAGGTTGGACTTGTTGCACTGGAAGATGCTTGGGACATGCAAGTGTTGCCCATTGGTGCAGGTGGAGGTATCAGTGAACCACAACCCGAACCTGGACCCATGTTGCCACCAGTCATGTTGCCCAGTCCAATGAGATCACCTGAACCAGTGCCACCATCACCAGAGCCACTTGTATTGTTGACCGGACCAGGTAATCTTCCAAGGTTGTTGGGATCTATTTGAGATTTGTTCATCTTTTTGAATTTTGATCGTCTATTTTGGAACCAAATTTTAACCTGGACACACCAAAGTTATTCATGATGATGATGAGAATGATCATGATGCAGATCAGAAAAAGGTAGACAGAGAGAAGAGAAAGGAAACATAAAATATCAATCAAACAGACAACCAATAAAAATATAAAAAGTGTTTAAAAAAAAGAGAAAAGTAAAAGATAAAATGATGATCAAATTTCGCCAATATACTTGGGAATTTTCATGATAAAATTCTGACAAAATTCTTGATGGTTGATGCACTGAAAATGATAAACTTGAACAAAATTGATTTTCTTTTTCAAAGTAAAATAACTGTTCATATTTTTTCGCCACAACTTTTCGCCTCCTTTTCCGTGTTTCGTCAACGAACTATCCATCGACTTGACACTATCAAGTCAATGCTAAGGAAATCGTGATTATTGAATGGCAAAAATAATCAAAGCTCTTTTCTCTCTCTGAATATTCTATTTTTTTATGGTGTCTGCTTGTTTTATGTTTACTTTCATCATCATCATGAAAAAAAGATAACAAAATGCTGAGTAACTTTTTACTCTTGACCAACAACGAGAAAACCCAAAGTGACAAAGTTTAAATTGTAAAGTGTTTAACAGGGAAAACATGAAGATGAGAAGCGCAAAGGGAAACAAAATTATTATTCAAAAGCATTTCATGAGCCAATGTGCCAAAAGTCAGTGAAAAAGATGAAAGAAAAAGATGTTTAACGTTACGACGTTAAAACAAGTAAGAAAAAAGTAAAACATCAACAAAAACAGAAAACCAAAAGAGGCAAACATGATATCCACAGAATTTTTAATGTTGATAATTTTTACCTTTGCCATTCATCTTTTTATCATCATCATCATCAAGATGAAACAACAAAAAACTCCCTCTCTCAGTGCGAGTCAAAAGAAGAGTCTAACCTAAGGGTAAATGAATAAAAGCAAGCAGAAGAAGAAGAAGAAGAAGAAGAAAGAAAAAGATGAAGAATGATGAAAATGATGAGGATGGCAAACGCATTTAAACCACATTCTGCTTTTTTTTCCTGAAAACCTGCAAATCTGAACTGAAACACCGGTCTGTTGAGGCCATTTTTGCTCTTCAATTGTACATTCTCCTTTCCTCCCTCCCATCCTCTCATCTTTATCATCTTATTCAGAATCGTTTGCTCACTCAATATCATTCATCTTGTTTCACTCTGCTTCTCACAACGAAAGAAATGCAAGAAGAAGAAGAAGAAAAAAAAAGTTTGACTTTGCAAGAAATAAGTTAACCTATATACTAAGGCACTATACTGAATAAGGATAAATCCAAACCTATAATGAAAAAAAAGGTAACCTCAAGAAGAAGATGAGAAGAAGAAAAAAGAAGGAAAAAAAGTATGAATCCAGAAAAGAATCAGAATTTTCATGAAGTTGAAAGAAACGTTGAAACAAGTTTTTTACTGCAAGTTGAAGAGACACAAAAAAGGCAAATGAAGGAAAGTGAATTGAAGGTGGATAAAGAAGAAGAAGATGATGATGATGATAAGGGAAGTAAACAAATGAGAGAGAAAATTGCATCTCTTCATCCTGTAGTTGATCTTGTTGATCATCTTTATCATCTTGTCCATCATTGTTATTAATCTTGATTTGTCTTGAACGGCAACACACAACAAAATGAGAAAAATTATTTTCGGACTTTGACTGACGATTTGGGAAGAAGAAGAAAAGTTGTCTTTTCTCGTCATCTTTGCATCTTGCTTCTGAATAGGCTGAAGATGACAAGAATGATGATGAAGAGAGCATCGCGTGTTTGTCTTGTTATGTGAATCGTGAAATTTACTTTGGCCAATTCAACGGAACAACATTTTCCTTTTTTTTCTTGTTCAACATTTTCAGATTCAATTTTGTCTGTTTCTGCTTTTTTTCAATGAAAATTGGCTCAAAGATGATTATCCTTTTGTGTGTGTGATGAAGATGAGGATGAAAAGTATTTCTCCATCTTATTCTTAGCTTTTTTTTCTTCTTCTTCTTCTTTGATTGGAAAGACACGAAAGAAGAAAATATTGTTTCAATTGTTCTCTTCTTTGTTATCCTTTTCCTTCATTTCTTTTGAATGTTTTTTTAACTCAAAAATGATGAAAAAATAAGGCAAAAGAACAGTTAATCGAACCATTTTTTGTTTCCATTTTTCTTATTTTCATTGCTTACCAAATTAACTAAAGTAATTGACATTTTTCATTGGCTTTTATCTCTTTTTACCTTTACTATTTTCATCATCACCATGATCAAGGTAGTTGTTCAACTAGTTGCAATTGGACTTTTGGTCAATGCAACTTTTACCAATTGTTGTTGGTCAAGAAAATGGTAAAGAAAGGAAAGAAGAAGAAAAAAAAGTTTTGCTTTTTCTCAAATTATTCAAGGAAATTTTGTACACTTTTTTTTGCGTGTGTGACTCGCTCAACATGATGATGAAAAAGATTACCTTAAGCATGGAATGTGATTGACAAAGAAAGGTGAAAACTTTTTCAAAATTAATTTCGTTTCTTTTTTTTCGACCAACTTTTTCCTCTTACAAATCGCAACATAAGATCTAACTGGTTATGGAAAAGTTTGAATTGTTCAAAAGTTTGCTGCTATGTCAACTTTTTGTTTAAGAGTGAAAACTTTTGATGCAAATTAACTTGCAAGGGAAAAGGTAAGAAAGTAAAACAAGATTAAGGTGAGGGAAGATGAACATGAAGAAGAAGAAGAAGAAGAAAACAGGAGAAGAAATGAAAAAGAAGAAAAAAGAGGGAAATATTTATATAATATAAAATGGGAGGGAATAAAGATGCACATTGATTCAGATTGAAGCCGGATACGAGTTGTTGGAATGAATAAGAAAAAAAACATGAAGAAAATTATTCAAAGATTATGACCTGTAATTTGACGCGTTCCCGTTCAAACTTGGTTCTGACTTTTCCCTCTCTAAGGTGTGGTTAACATTGGTTAACCCATTGGATTCATGTTGACCAAACCAAGGGAAGATTAAAAGCAATGACAGTCTC